GGTTTGATAGTTTTCACTGTATAAGCCCTTCACATCCCTGGTTAGATTTATTCCTGGTTGTTTCATTCTCTTAGATGTTACTGTAAATGGGCCAATTTTCCTTTCAAATTTCTCATTGCTCATAGAAACTCACCCAATGGTTGGTTGTTGACTTTGTGCTCTGCAACTTTGCTAAATTCCTCTATGAGCTCTAGTAGTTTTCTTGTGGACTCTGGGATTTTCTATATGTAGGGTCATGTTGTTGTTGTTGTTGTTGTTATGTGCCATCGAGTCGGCCCCGACTCATAGCGACCCCTCCTTGGGTTTCCGAGGCAGTATCACTACGGAAGTAGGATTGCCCAACCTTCCTTCCGATGTGTAGGGTCATATCATCTGCTAATAGATAATTTTATTTTTTCTTTTCCTATCTGGATACTTCAATTTCTTGTCTTATTGCTCTGGCTAGGACTTCTAATACAATATTGAGTAGAAGTTGTGAGAGCTGGTCACCCTTTTCAGTCTTTCTCTATTAGGTATAATCCTGGCTGTTGACTTTTCATATATGCCCTGAATCGTATCTGAGGAACCTACCTTATGTTCAAATCTGCTTTAGGGTTTTCATTATGAAATGTGTTGGATTTTATCAGATGCTTTTTCTGCATCCATAGAGATGATCCTATGGTTCTTTCCCTTTGTTCTCCTGATGTGGTGTATTATATTGATGATTTTTCTAATGTTGAACCATCCCTGCCTTTCTGTAATAAATCCCACTTGGTCACAGTATGGGATTCATTTAAGATACTGTTGGATTCTGTTCACTGGTATTTTGTGGAGGGTTTTTATGTCTATATTCACAAGAGATATGGCCGGTAGTGTCTTTTGTCTAGTTGGTATCAGGGTTATGTTTGTTTCTTAGAATGTATCAGGGGTTATTCCTTCCTTCCTTTATCTTCTGGAAGAATTTAAACAGTATTCATGTTGATTCTTCTCTAAATGTTTGGTAGAATTCCCCAGTGAAGCCATCAAGTCACACCCAAACCCATTGCCATCGAGTCAATTCCAACTCATAAAGAGTAAAACTGCTCCATAGGGTTTCTATGGCTGTAAATAATTACAGAAGCAGATTGCTTCATCCTTCTCCTGTGGAGCAGCTGGTGGGTTTGAACCGCCAACCTTGTGGTGAGAAGCCAAGTGCCTTAATCACTGCATAACCAGAGCACCTCCCATCTGGTCCAGAACATTTTTTGGGTGGGGAGGGAGAGATTTTTGATTACTCAGTTGGTCTCTTCACTTATTATGGGTCTGCTGAAACTTTCTGTTTCCTCTTGAGCTAGTTTGGGTAGGTTGTGTGCTTCTAAGAGTTTGTCCATTTCATCTCGATTATCTAGTTTGTTGCCATACAGTTGTTCATACTATTCTGTCATGTTGTTTTACTTGTTAGGTACCATCGACTTGGGTCTGACACATAGCGACCCTCCATACAACAGAACGAAACACTCCCTGGACCTGTGCCGTCCTCACAGTCCTTGCTGTGTTGGAGCCCATAGTTGCAGCCACTGTGTCAGTTCATCTCATTAAGGGTCTTCCTCCTTTTCGCTGACCCTCTACTTAACCAAGCATGATGTCCTTCCTCAGAAACTTGTTCCTCTTCATAGCATGTCCAAAGTATATAAGACAAAGTCTCATCATCCTTGCTTCTAAGGAGATTCTGGCTGTACTTCTTCCAGGACAGATTTGTTCATTCTTCTGTCTGTCCATGGTGTATTCAGTATTCCTCACCAACACCATAATTCAAAAGCATCAATTCTTCTTCAGTCTTCCTTATTAATTCTCCTGCTTTTGCTTGTCTGTGAGGTAATTGAGCATGCCACGGCTTGAGTTAGGCACACCTTAGTCTTTAAAGTGACATCTTTGCTCTTTAACACTTTAAAGAGGTCTTTTGCAGCAGATGTGTGCAGTGCAGTATGACGTCTGTGCAGTATGACGTCTGATTTCCTGCCTGCTGCTTCCGTGAGCATTGATTGCGGATCTGAGTAAAATGAAATCCTTGACAACTTCAATCTTTCCTCCATTTAGCATGATGTTGCTTATTGGTCCAGTTATGAGGATTTTCATTTTCTTTATGTTGTAGTCTAATCCATATTGAAGACTGTAGTCTTGGATCTTCACCAGTAAGTGTTTTAATTCTTCTTTGCTTTCAGCAAGCAAGGCTGTGCCATCTGCCTATTGTAGGTTGTTAATGAGTCTCCCTCCAATCCTGATGCCATGTTCTTCTTCATATAATCCAGCATCTTGGATTATTTGCTCAGCGTACAGATTGACTAAGTATAGTGGAAAGATACAACCCTGATGCACACCTTTTCAGATTTTAAACCACACAGTATCCCCTTGTTCTCTTTGAACAATTGCCTTTTGGTCTATGTACCGGTTTCTCATGAGCACAATTAAGTGTTCTGGAATTTCCATTCTTTGCAATGTTATCCATAATTTTTTATGATCCACACAGTTGAATGCTTTTACATAGTCAGTAAAACACAGGTAAACATCTTTCTGGTATTCTCTGCATTTAGCCAAGATCCATATGACATCAGCAATAATATCCCTTACTCCACATCCTCTTCTGAATCTGGCTTAAATTTCTGGCAGTTCCCTGTCAATGTGCTGCTGAAACTCTTTTTGAATTATTTTCCACAAAACTTTACTTGTGTGTGATATTAATGATGTGGTTCAATAATTTCTGCATTCTGTTGGATCACCTTTCTTTGGAGTGGGCACAAATATGGATCTCTTCCAGTTGGTTGGTGTCTTAGGCTGGGTTCTCTAGAGAAGTAAAACCAGTGAAGCTTTTAGATATATGCCAGTGAAGACAGCAGGCAGGAAATCAGACAACATATGCACTGGACAAATCTGCTGCAATGTATGTACATATATGTATGTGTAGACACACATACACTCACATATATGTATATGGAGAGAGTGAGAAAAAAAATTATCTCAGGGAAATGGCTCACATAGTTGTAGAAGCTGGCAAGTCCCAAGCCCATGGTTCAGACATCAAGCTTGGGGCTTCTCCTGACTCATGAAGCTACAGGGGCTGACAAACCCAAGACTGGCAGATGGTACAGCAAGCAGGCTGGTGGCTTTGGAGGCTGATGACTCCAAGATCAGCAGGTCAAATGTCAGACTCTTGGCACACAGGCTATGAAAGCAACAATGCTGAGATCAGCAAAGAACTGGAGTTAGAGGATCATAAGGGAAGAATATGCTCAGCATTTTTCAACCTGAAGGAACTGAAGAAAAATTCGAGCCTTGAATTGCAATACTGAATGATTCTATGGGCAAAATACTGACTGACGTAGGAAGCATCAAAAGAAGATGGAAGGAACACAGAGTCACTATACCAAAAATAATTGGTTGCTGTTCAGTCATTTCAGGAGGTAGCACATGATCAAGAACCAATGGTGTTAAAGGAAGAAGTCCTGGAGCATGGATTTTATTTTATAAATTTTATTTATTTTCAATTATTCAAATTTATTTGGGGTGGGGAAGGCCCTCAACGAGATGGACTGGTGACAGTGGCTGCACCGATGGGTTCAGGGGTAGCAAGGATTGGGAGGCTGGCCCAGCACCGGGCAGTGTTTTGTTCTGTCCTACACAGGGTCACTGTGAGTCGGAGCCAACTTGACGGCACGACACCACCACCACCACCTACAAAATGAAGCCACGCCCCTTACTCACATTGGTAGCAAGCTGTTCACTCCTCCTGGTGGGCCACATCACCTCACACTTGCGTAGCCCCATCCAGTCATCGGAAAACCATTAACTAGAGGGTAGAAACGTATTAACTTGGTCCTGCATCTAGCTCATCATCTAATGTAAGGACCTCTGGTGGCATAGTGGGTAAGGCATCTGTTTGCTAACCAGGAGGTCGGCAGTTTAAACCCACCAGCTGCTCTGTGGGAAGAAGATGAGGCAATCTATTTCTGGAAAGATTTACAGCCTCGGAAACCCAGTGGGGGTCACTATGAGTCAGAATCGACTCAATGGCAGTGGGTTTTTGGTTTTGGTAATGACTGATATGGAGCTTTGATGGCACAGTGTTTAAAGCATTGAGCTCCTAACCAGAAGGTCAGTGGGCTGCTGCATTGCCTGCTGATCTCGGCTTCTCCTGACTCATGAAGCTACAGGGGCTGACAAACCCAAGACTGGCAGACGGTACAGCAGGCTGGTGGCTTTGGAGGCTGATGACTCCAAGATCAGCAGGTCAAATGTCAGACTCTTGTTGCTTTCATAGCCTGTGTGCCAAGAGTGGTTCAAACCTACCAGCTGCTCTGTGGGAGAAAGATGTGGCAGTCTGCTTCTGTAAAGACTGACAGCCTTGGAAACCTCTAGGGTCACTGGGAGTTGGAATTCATTTGGTGGCAGCGGGTGGTGTGGTAGAATGACTAATGGTGAACTGCTTTTCATGTGCTTATTGGCCATTTGTATATATTCTTTGGAAAGATGTCTGTTCACATGCTTTGCCCACTTTTTAATTGGGTTGTCTTTTTATTGTTGAGTTGTATGAGTTCTTCATATATTCTGGATGATAGAGCCTCATCAGATGTATGCTTTGCAAATATTTTCTCCCAGTCTGTGGGCTTTCTTTTTACTTTACTGATGGTGTCCTTTGAAACAAAAGCTTTCCATTTTTGTGAAGTACAATTTATCCATTTTTCCTTCAGTTGTTTGTAAATTTGGTGTCCAATCTAAGAAATCATTGTGAAATTCATGGTCATGAAGATTTGCTTCTCTGCTTTCTCCTAAGACTTTTACAATCTTAGCTCTTACATTTCCGTCTATAATCCATTTTGAGTTAATCTTTGTGTAAGGTGTGAGGTAGGGGTCTCATTTCCCCCTGTTGTACTTAGAGGTCCAGTTGTCCCAGTACCACATGTTGAAGGACTGTTCTTTCCCCCTTAGTGGCTCTTTCTGGACTTTCCTTCATCTAGGCTTCTCCCCTCCTTCTTTGCCCTCAGTAGACTCAGAGGCAGTGAAGAAGGCTGCCTTGGAGAAGAGAGAGGAGGAGCTGGTGAGTGAGCGCACCGAAGCCTTCACCATCGCCCGCAACCTCCTCACGGCTGCTGCGGATGCTATCGAGCGCATCATGTCATCATACAAGGAGGTACCCCCGGCCCTCCCCCTGCCCCCCCCAGGCCCCTCTTCTCGCCAGCGCAGACTGAGCCAGGGTGGCCCTCCTCACAGGTGACAGAGCTGGCTGGCTATACAGCCCGGGTCCATGAGATGTTCCAGGTCTTCGAAGATGTCCAGCACTGTCGTTTCAAGAGGCCTGGGGAGCCTGAGGATGCCCCGGGGGATTCTGGGGCTGTTGTGAGGCATGGTGTCCGTGTGGAGGGGCCCCTAAAGATCCGAGGTGAGAATTCCCATCCCCAGAGTGCCTCTTCTTGTCCTGGCCCCCCAGTGGCCCCTGCCTCAGCTTGGACACTTGGGGTATAGCACCCCCACCCCATCTCGGTCCACTCGGGAGGGAAGGGCTGGCTGGCAGGGTCTGGGAGGACTTCCCCTGCATTGAGCTGGGCTGTAGGGAAGGTTTCCGGTGAGAGTCATTGGTCAGGGTGGTTGCCGCCCCAACTTGCTGATCCACCGTGTTCCTTCTGGGTGCCGTGATCTATATCTCTCTTTGCCGAAGAAGGGGGTATGGCTCCTGTACGTAGCATCACTCACCCACCCGCATGGTCTGAGAGAGCTTTGGCTGTGTGCAAGCACAGACGAGGTTGTCTAGCTAGTCAGTGACAGAGAAAGTGGGCAACAGCAAAGAGGGCCCAGAATCTGGTACCACCTTTAGCTGATGTGGGAAGGGGGGCTGCAGGGTAGCAGATGAGACTTGGTGCCTTGGGTTCTAGAAGCCCAGAGAAGCGGCTGCATGGTGGGGGACACACTAGCACCTGGGGGAGCCAGGGAGGGGCAGTACAGGGGCACACGGAACCCCCTTTCTGGGAATGACGGCCTCCCTCCCTCATGTCTCTTCTCCAGGCCAAGTGGTGGATGTGGAGCAGGGCATTATCTGTGAGAACATCCCCATCATCACACCCACGGGAGAGGTGGTGGTAGCCAGCCTTAACATCAGGGTAGGTAGACAACTGCTGTCCGGGAAGGGCCATGTGCTGGGGGCAGGCGGGGCAGCCCAGGCACCTGCCTGTAATGTTTCCAAGCACCAGCCCTTGGCATCCAGACAGGTAGGCCTGCCTATGCTCCCGGTAGCCACTGCCTCCAGATATACGTGGCAGGTGGGCCAAGGTCAAGGTGAGACACCAACATGCGTTTGACTTAGTTCTGGGGCAGCGGAGTCAGGACTAATAAAAGAGCCCAGTGATTACCAGGATTGGCCGAGGGTCACGCATGCACGCGCACACACACACACAGACATACACCCTCCTGCAGAAGGTCTCTCTCTCTCTCTCTCTCTCTCTCTCTCTCACACACACACACACACACACACACACGCCCCTCCGCAGAAGGTCCCCACACACACACACCTTCACAAAAGCCCAACTGGTGGTGGGAGAGATGGCAGCTCCCCCGCCCTGGGCCCCTCCTGCCCGGCCTGGGGGGCAGCTTGGGAGCTTGGCCCACCTGCTTTGAGAAGGCCCCACGTGGGGCCTGTGTGCCAAGCCAGCAGCTGGACCCCCTGGGGAGGGTGCTCAGGCACCCGATGGGCTTTCCAGGGAAAGGAATCCCTGGCCCACTCACTAAGCCACCCACTAAGCTGGGACCTGCTTGGGGTCCCAGCTAGGCGTCTGGGCATGGTGGAGCCACAGTGGAGTGAGGGTGGGGCCGGGTGGGGTGGCAGTGGGGGGAGGCAGCCATTCCTTCTTCTGCCAGCTCCCTGACCCCTCTGGCCGGCCGCTGGAAGCTGTGAGGGGATTGGGCCTTTCTCGGGGACACACCCCTCAGAGAGCAGCTCTGGTGGGGCCATTTGTCCATCTTCTGGGATGCCCCCCAGGCCCCTGCCACCTCTTGCCAAGAGAGGAGGCCTTGGTGGACAAGCCCCGGGAGGTGGTGGGACGGCAGATGGCAGGCGGCCCATGCCCCCGGACCCAGGGCTGCCTGCCGTCCCTGCAGGTGGAGGAGGGCATGCACCTGTTGATCACGGGCCCCAACGGCTGCGGCAAGAGCTCCTTGTTCCGGATTCTGGGCGGGCTGTGGCCGGCGTACAGCGGGGTGCTCTACAAGCCCCCGCCCCAGCGCATGTTCTACGTCCCCCAGAGGTGAGGGGTGCTGGGGAGGCCGGCCGGAGCAGGCTGCGGGAGGCCAGGGGGCCAGTCACAGCCAGGAAGCAGAGTCGCCCTTACCCACTACCACCTTTCACGTGCTGGAGGCCAAGCTGGCTTACAGCAGACACAAGCCAGTGACAAAAAGTCAGTGCCTTGGGAGCGAATGTCAGGACACCCTGGAGGGAGCTGAGCTGGGGGACCTCCTCCCTCCCTCCTCTCCCCTGCTTTCCTGGGGCGGTCACATGTGTGTGATGTGCCTGTGTGTGTGTGTGCAAGTCAGGCCTATGTGTGTGCAAGTGGTATGAGCGTGTGTGCATGGGCTGTGGATGCACGTGAGGTGAGTGAGTCGTGTGTGCTATGTGTGTGTGCATGTGTGCATGTATACATGTGTGTATGGTCCTGTGTATGGTATATACATGTGAGTTGTGTGCAGTGTGCCTGTGCACATGTGTGCTATGTATGTTTTGTGTGGTGTGCATGGGGTGGGGTGTGTATGTGCATGTGCACATGTGTGGTATGTGTGTGCACGTTGTGTGTGGTGTGTGATGTGTATGCACACGTGTGGTATGTTTTGGGTGGCATGCATGTGGGGGAGCGCAAATGTGTGTGCATACATGCATATGTACGTGTGCGGTGTGTGTGCTCCCATGTGTGGTAGATGTGTGCATGTGGTGTGTGTGCACGTGTGTGCGTATAGTATATATGGTGTGTATGCACGTGTGTGGTATGTATTTGGCGTGCATGGGGATGCGTGCACACCCATGCACGTGTGTGCATGCACACGTGTGTGTATGTGTGTGCCTGCACATGTGTGTGTACACTCCCTCAAATGCTTCGTGGCAGGGCCCGCTTCACCCCCAGGGTCAGCAGGGAGGGCTGGCCCTTGCCCTGGTGGACCCTCAGCCTCCCCGCAGGCCCTACATGTCCCTGGGCACCCTGCGGGAGCAGGTCATCTACCCTGACTCGGTGGAGGACATGCGCAGGAAGGGCTTCTCAGATCGGGACCTGGAGGCCATCCTGGACATTGTGCACCTGCGTCATATCCTGCAGCGTGAAGGAGGTAGGAGGGTGGCCGCCAGCCCATCGCAGCGTCCCTGTGACCTGCCGCCCTTTGTCCCCACTCCCACCCCTGGCCTCTCCCTCTCAGCGGTGGTGCACAGAGCTCACCCACGTGCCCAGGAGTCCAAAGTGCTCCGGGAGGGGACAGGTGACCCGAGACAGGATGGGTACGTGCTGCCCAGGGGAGGAGGAGGGAGGGTGTGAGAGGCCACCCAGGTCATGGCTCAAAGAGGACAGCATGACCTGTGTCCCCAAGGCCTCTCCCGTGGCAGAGAAAGAATAAAGAGCAGAGCAGCCCGAGACTGAGGCCTGGGCGGTGGGGACAGGCCAGACTGTGGAGAGCCAGCTGGGCCCAGTGGCGAGCGTGGCTGTTCTCCCGGTCAGCATCGCCGTACCTGGGGCCAGAGGACAGCAGGGAGGCAGTGAGGAGCGAGCCGAGGGCCAGCGTTGGTGAATGGGCCTCAGGGCAGAGTGTGCCCAACTTGCTGGCAGCGCCTGGGCTGGCCAACCCTGAGGCGATGGAGGCCATGAGAGGGAGGAACAGGCTAGAGGCAAGAGCAGGAGTCTGGCTGGGCCTCTGAGCTTTAGGGAATCTGTAGTCCCACGGCAGGGAGCTCTGGTGGCATAGTGGTTAAAGCACTTGGCTGCTAACCAGAAAGGTCGGTAGTTTGAATCTACTAGCCATTCCATGGGAGAAAGATGAGGCAGTCAGCACATTGACAGCCTTGGAGGCCCTGTGGGGCAGTTCCACTCTGTCCTCTAGGGGTGCTGTGGGTCGGAATCGACTCCATGGCAGTGGGTTTTTGGTTTTGGTAGCCCTAAAATCTGGTGGTGTAGTGCCTAAGGCACTTGACTGCTAACCAGAAGACTGGTGGTTCAAACCCCCTAGCCGCTCCTTGGAAGGAAGATTGGGCAATCTACTTCTGTAGAGATACTGCCTTGGAAACCCAAGGAGGGGTCGCTGTGAGTCGGAGACGACTCAATGGCACATAACAATGACGACAGTGAGGGCCAGGCCACCACAGGGTCAGGAGTTGAGAGCAGGTCTGAGAGTGGCATGGGCTAGCGCATCCCCTGGAAGGGCCTGTCACTGCACCTTGGCACCTGCAGTGGGAAGGGGAGTTGCAGGAAGCAGTCTGGGGTGTTTTCCCATCATTGGACGGGCCCGTTGCCACCCTAGTTGCCATAGTTATGCAGAAGCCACAACCTGGCTTCCCCTGCCCTGGCCACACCACTTTAGCTCCAGCCACCATCCTCACCTGGAGTGGCACCCCTGAAGACCCAGGGCCTGTGGCCAACCACCGGGACCAATGAGGATTGGGGTCACTGTGGCTTCAGTCACTCACAAATGTATTTCACTGTGATGTTAAGGTCCTGAGAGAGGCAGGCCAGGGTTGGTGGGTAGTGGCCCTGTCTTGTGAAGGCCTCTGAGTTACTCTGGTACATGTGGCCTCCATGCCCGAAGTCACTTCGTGCTCCAAGATGGCTGCTGCAGACATCACATCCCTATTCCAGACAGTCGGATGGGGGAAGGAGGAGAAGGAGGGCAGGAGCAAAGGGTGTATGGCATCTGTCTTTTAAGGAAAGTTCTGGAAGCTGTGCATTACATCCCATTGCCAGAATTTAGTCACGTGGTCACACCTCACCACAAGGCAAGCTGCCAAAACTTCTCACCCTGTAGGAGGAGCGTGACTAGGAGGCAGCCAGGGGCCCTTTCTGCCACATGTCCTGGCAGACCATCCCACTCCCCCACTTGCTCATGGGCTTGACCGGCCTGTGTCCGCCTGGCCTGGGGGCAGCACCGGGCAGCAGAAGCATCGGGCTGCAGGCTTTTTCCGAAGCTCCAGTCTTTGCCTCTACTGGTGGGGGCACACCCAAGGGAAGCCTGGGCCCCCTCTTGCCGCCCCCACACCTGTGGGCTTGGCCCATACCCTGCCCTGCGAGGAGTGAGCCGGTGGCCCCTCTCCACAGGTTGGGAGGCCGTGTGTGACTGGAAGGACGTGCTGTCGGGCGGGGAGAAGCAGAGGGTCGCCATGGCTCGGATGTTCTACCACAGGTGAGCGGGACCAGTGGGGGCCCTGGGAGCTGCCCAGGGCGAGTGGGCCTAGCGGGCGCCTGGCGAGGGAAGGCAGCTGCGACTAGAGGCCTGGAGGCTGACCTGGGGCTCCCTTCACCCCCAGGCCCAAGTATGCCCTCCTGGACGAGTGCACCAGCGCCGTCAGCATTGACGTGGAAGGCAGGATCTTCCAGGCGGCCAAGGACGCAGGCATTGCCCTGCTCTCCATCACCCACCGCCCCTCCCTGTGGTAGGTGGCCCCCCCGGGGTGGGGCGGGAGCGCCCTGCAGCACTGGTCTGGCGGCGGTCCCCATCACCCATCTCCTGACCAGGAAGTACCACACCCACCTGCTGCAGTTTGACGGGGAGGGCGGCTGGAAGTTCCAGAAGCTGGACTCAGCGGCCCGCCTGAGCCTGACCGAGGAGAAGCAGCGACTCGAGCAGCAGTTGGCGGGTATCCCCAAGATGCAGAGGCGCCTGCAGGAGCTCTGCCAGATCCTGGGGGAGTCTGCGGTCCCCGGGCAGCCCCCGGCCGCCCGCCTGGCAGGCCCTGGGCTCGCCCCAGGTGCCACCACCTGAGGGGATGCCTGGGCTCTGGGCCCTCGGCCCCTCCCCTCCCCTGAGCTCTCGGATCACATGAAGGAAAGAGCAGCACTCACCCCCGCAGCCCCTCGCGCCTCTCCCCTCCTCCCAGGCCAGCGAGCTCACGTGTCCTTCCCCCAGCCCAGCTCCCTGGGCGGTGCCCACCGGGAGTGCGCCTGACTGCTGACCACAAGACTGGCCGTTCGCCTCCACCCCGATGCCTCGGAAGAAAGGCCTGGCCATCTCCTTCCAGCAAATGATCCCCTGCAAGGCCCGTGGGGCCCAGCCCGCCTCCGCTAATGGTGACCTGTTAGAGTGGTCAAGCCCTTTGTGTTTCCTCAGCCCTGCCCCCACACTAGTGCCAGTGACCAGGCAGGGGTGAGCAGGACCCAGCCTGCGTCTGTGCCGAGCCTGACTCAAGTCCCCATTCCATCCACCCTTGTGTCCCTCGAAGACCCTGTGTTCTATTCCTTTATCACCGCCACCTGGGGTGGCCAGCCGTGGCTAGAGCCCTGCGGGTGCCCCTCCTGCCCTAGAAATAGCCAGTGGGGACCTTAGACAGAGAGAAAACTGGACGGGGCAGGCCGGTACCGCCTCACACAGCCCTTCAGAGAAGCAGTGCCGGCGAGCATGACGAGCGAGGAGCTCTGTCCCTCTTGGTCCCTCACCCCAAAACCTAATTTATTGGATTCCCTGTTTGTATCTGCCCTGGTCGCCAACGTGAGCCTCCTGCCAGAGCACCGCCCCGGGCCCCACTGCCCCACTAGGCTACACTGCCAGCTGCTGGGAGGGAGGGAACCAGTGTCCCCAGCTCAGTGCCAAAGAGGGGTCTGCCAGTGGCACTGCCTGTGCCGAGCCGGCCCTCGCAGGGAGGGGGGACCCCACTGCCGCTGTGTGCCTTTCCTGGCCCCTCAGTCCTCAGGCCGGGGAGCCTCCCTCAGTTCCCTCAGTAAAAACCTGCCATGGAAAATGCTATCTGGCCACCCCTCTGTCTTAGAGTATTTTGGTGGGGGGCCTAGGGTGCCTCTGGGGAGAGACTCCCTGCCCACCCTCCAGCCTGGGGCTCTAACAGCAGGAGGCTCTTGGGTTGCCCCCAGCAGGGCCAGGTGGATCCCACGACGGCATTTCACAGTGGGACAGGTGAGCACGGGTAGGACACCGGGCGGAGTGTAGCAGGGCACGCCCCTGCGGAGGAGGAGGAGGAGGGAGGTGTGTCTGAGACCTGAAGGAGTGGCGCAGGAAAATGGTGGGCAGGGAGCCGTCCTAGAACGTCTGGAAGGGGCACGGCTGATGCCAAGGCCCGGGGCTGCCGAGTGGAGAAGGGAGAGCCACCGAGGAGTTGGCAGCCCAGTGGAGGACAACGTGCTGTGTATGCGGAACACAGGTCAGGGCCGTTCGGTGCAGGTGGGACAGTGCGGTCCTCCGAGGCTAACCAGGGATTCCGTACGACCCAGCAGCTCCACTTTTAACACCCAAGAGACTAGAAAGCAGAGACTCGCACAGCTCCGCGTCCACACAGCCCCACTCACAGCAGCCGAAAGGTGGGCCCAGCCCACGCACGTGCCCATCAACAGGTGATGGCTAACCGCAGTGGGCCAGGCGGGCAAGCGGAAAGGGAGTCCCGACACAGGCCCCGTGTGGGCGGACCTGGAAAGCGTGCTGCCCAGGGCAATTAGCTGACACAAAAGGACACCTGTGGTGTGCCCTCGCTCACGTGGACAGATAGGAACAAGCAAACAGAGAGCCGAGGTCACCGGTGCTTGCCAGGGTTTCAGGGGCTCTGGGTTGGCTGGGAGCCATGAAAACCTTGAAAGGGAGTGCGGTGGTGGCTGCGCCGCATGGTGACGGTGCTGCATGCCGCCGAACCATGCACAAGAAGGCCACTGTTGTCCCCTGACTGTCCCCTCCGGGACCCCGCCCAGAGCAGGCGTGAGGGGTCCCCGAGAGTGGACTGGAGGGTCGGTGGGAGGAGGGGGCAGGGCTGGAGTGAGGGGAGGGAGAGGCAGGGCGGCCCCGGGGCGCAGCTGAGCGGGTGGGTAGGCACGGTGCCCTGACGGAGGGAGCGGCCAAGGAGCGCCAAGTCTGGGAGAAGGTGAGTCTGCGCGGGAGAGGATGAGGAGGCAGGGCCGGGGGAGCTGGAGGCCCAGGTGGGCGAGTGCTCTAGCCGGGCGGGGCAGAGCGTGGGCCAGGGCTCAAGCAGTAGCCTGAGGAGGGGCCTCTCACTTGGCCAGTGGCGGATGCCCTGAGTTGTAGCCACATTTTAAAGTGAGGATCAGTTCCTGATCCCCAGAGAAGTGACACATCCTGGGGGTAGAAGTTGTTCCTACAGCTAGTCCACAGACCGTGGCACTCACGTACACCTGATAAGTCCCTTTCTGAACCTAAAATAGCAACAGTATTTGCTGCGCCACCAAACCCTCAACTCGTGTGCACGAGGAAAGCCCCACCACCGCTGGTGTTGCCTGGGCATTCGCGTTGCTGTGGCCACACGGTTTCCACAGGCTGATTCTGGAGATGGGTCACCAAGCCTTCTTCCTCACCTGTCTTAGTCCAGAAGCTGTGCTGGACCAGCCTCCAAGCAACACCCCAGCTTCCACTGCCAGCTGGGGGCGGGGCTTGAGGGGCCCGGGCCAGGCAGCAAACCGGCTTTCCTGCATGGAAGGCGGGAACGTGACCGCTGAGCCACCAGCGCCCTCTAAGTGGCGTGTACCTGGTAACAAATCCCTTTCTGAAACTTAAGCAGCGAGAAAGGTTCTGCGGCCACCAGACCCTAACTGAGAAATCTGGAAAGAGATACAGTGGGCAAGGACTGGCCGGAAGAAAGCTAGTGGACAGACATCCCCATTGGAGGAAGTCAACTTTAGGGCAGGGAGCGTGATTAGGGATGGCAGCACAGCGAATGACTTACTATGGCCCTTCAACGAAGCCATGGTCTTTGTAACTCCCACCAGATGACTGGATGGGGCTACGCAAGTGTGAGGTGATGTGGCCCACCAGGAGGACTGAACAGCTTGCTACCAATGTGAGTAAGGGGCATGGCCTCATTTTGTAGGTGGTGGTGGTGGTGTCTGCTGCCATCAGGTTGGCTCCGACTCACAGTGACCCTGTGTATGACAGAACAAAACACTGCCCGGTCCTGGGCCAGCCTCCCAATCCTTGCTACACCTGAACTCATCGTTGCAGCCACTGTTACCAATCCATCTCGTTGAGGGCCTTCCCCACCCCAACGGTTACAGTGTGATCTCTGAGTATCCTCAACTGTGAGGAGTGCAGACCTGGGAGATGAGGGGGAAAGGTATTGTCAGACTGAAGTGAGGGTGGGAGGGTTGTGGGGCAATCTCTACTGCACTCGGGTCTGCGATGCTGAGCGGTAGTGGTTTCTTAATCTTGTTCTTCTCTCTGCTCCCTCGGGCTGCTGAGTGTCTTTATATTTAAAGTAGGAAGTATGCATTTTAATCACTCTGCCTTGTGCTTGCACCGAGGGCTACTTTTTCTAGTACCAAGAGTACTGCTTTCTTTTCTTTTCTTTTGACTGTTTCACACTTGAAGAACAAAATTACATGCTCCAAATCAAGATTTTTACTTACTAATTTTTAAATATAAATA